AGGTCTGGAAATGGAATGTCGCGACTTGTTGGGAAACCTAATAGTGCAATGTTTAGAAGAGGTCATACATAAGTAGAGGGTACAGCATTGATTGATTTCTCTCAATGGAAGATAAAGTTAGAGATAGTTGTCGGTTTGGTCAACTTTTGTCGGTTGGAGTTCCCATTTCGCAGGCCTAAAATTCGAAAACCCTGGAAGAGATGTGGAAGTGGAACATACAGTCTTGTAGGGTAGACAACTTTCTTTCGAATGGTATATGACATGGTGTAAAAGCTTGAGCATATAGTAGAAAACTTTTAGTTTGAGAAAAAGCGACACTATTTATGAGACAACTTAATATATCTGTCACTCGGTCTCCACGTTCTCACAAGGTGCTCATTCGGATATGTTAAAAACTAGAATAGAAATCTCTGCTGGGTACGAAACATGATTTGCAAAAAGGCAGACCGCAGTGAGAACTGAACCCGTGACCTGTATGATGACAGCGCGAGTCTTACCACTGCGCCATGGCAACACAATTATGCCAACAGTGAGCCTCATCCAGAAGCGTTCATTTGCAGCCAACTTTGACTGCTCGTAACTTCCTTAGCAAGATCGTTCTGCAATTTCGGGTTCCGCTGTTTTAACCGGTGTCCCAGGCTCTCTCGATATGTCTAGGTCTCGGCTCAAAGTTCTACGGGGAGTTCAATGACTTCCCTCGTAAGTTGCACGGAATACGGTCAATACAACCACACCCCCTTGTTATTTAAAAGCCAGAATTCACGAATTTTGTCAAGCAAAGTGCGTCGCACACAACAATTTTGGAACCACAAGGCACACTAAATTACATAGATGGAATAACACCAATCTGGAACTACGTTAAACTATGGGATAACACATAAAGCTTAGAATCCTCTTCATTCACTATCAATGTCTCTCTTCCTGACATCTCTCGTCTTTCGCCCTTGCACACAGTTCTTCATCTACTCCATAACTATCTTCTTCATTCTCCTCAGCGCCCTTACTCTTAGCCACAACCTCCTCTGCTCCACTAAACCACCAAAACAACATCACAAAACAGCTCTAAACGAACTTGCTTCACTATTTCCTCCAATCCGCATACGCATCCTTCTCCTCTCTATATTCAAACTCTTCATCACTGACCTTCACCATACTCCGAATTCCACTACGACTTTTCGGTTCGTCACGACTTCTACGCCACTAACAATCTGCGGAGCCAACGGCTACTACTCGACACATTAACACTCACTCAAACCATCGAATCCACTACTCCAGAACCGAACAACGCCGGACGATACTGTCGTAGTACTAGGTTTGTACTTTACAAATTGTGTTTCAAGATATTTATTAGTAGGTAACATTAACGAAAATATATTCGTTGCATTTTTATAGCGTCAGCGTTGTAAACTTATTTTCTGCAGTACTTAAGTCATGTAAAGTTAGCGTTCTGCACGGTTAGCCTCTAAAACAGCCCAATTACCACTACAACATTCACTTGATAACTACAGTAATAACTACAATAACAACGAAGTGACGGGGAGGATGCAATGCGTTATCATCAACCTTTCGCTGTGCCGAGTTATCAAGGCGTTTTACGACAAAGGCGTCAAGTTGAAACCTGTGCTACGTCATCTTATTGATTCAACAACCCAAAAGTCACGACTCAATAGTCAATAACCCAGCACGAATGAGTTGTAATATAACGGATATTAATAAATGTTAGTTAATCTTGTTGCCTATGATAAACTATTTAGTGTAAGTCGCACCATAGAACAAACTACCACTCTACCTCCAAAGCAATGACGGATGATTTCACATTATATAATAGAATGACATAAACATTAGGAGGGCTCTGCAAAAGATTTGTAATTCATCTTTTTGGCTACTCATACTGACCTGCGCTATAGGTATATTTATTCCTCTCATAACTTCTTGTCTATCATCTTGGACGAATGGACCAATATGCCGTTAATTGTTTTCAAAATAAAAATTACTAGTTTTTTCTACCGCATAACAGTAGGGACGGTAACAAGCACAAGAACTCTTCAGTGAAGTGCCACCGTCTAAAAAAATCGTCAAACCGTGGTGGAACTAATGTGCACCACTGATCTTGAGAGGGTTGAGGACTCCCTACGGAAATTAGGATTACAGAAGATTAAATGGAGTGTGCACCAGGTTGTTTCCTTATGCGCCGAGAGCGCGCAGACCAACAGACCGTCGCTCATGAAGTGGAGCTGAAAATAATTTGTTCCTAATTCCTCAGGAATGGAGTGCTTCTCGCGGTTCTGAATATGAGTTCTGACCAGGATCTCTATTTCTCAATGTCATTAGCGCTCGAAGCACCTTTCGAAATTACACATGTAAGAATATTGAAAATTATTCTGCTCAGTACACTGCTGTTCGGATAAGTTAAAATATTAGATTCTCTCACAATCAATGAATCAGTTAACATATTGTACTATACAAATTCCAAGAAAAGTGTTAACCCATTCGCGACAATGGCAGCCACCGGTGGCTGACGCAAAGATGCTCACTTGGGACCATTTCATCCACCGGTTGCCCATCATTGTTGATCGTCTCAAACAAAGCTCGTCCGAACGGGCAGATTGAAAATCTTGCGCGGTCGCGAATGAGTTAAAGGCGTGAAACATGTTTTTGCGATGTGGTACCCACATTATCCTACATGCGCAATTAGTCAGCCCATTTACGCGCTGCCTTTCGTAGCTACTTTCGAGGTTCTACCCATAACTTTCGATTAGGACCTTTTAACCGTAAACAACTTAGGATGGGGACGAAGATCAACCAGCAGATAGTTGGGAGCACGCTCCCTCAACGCACGGTGCTCCTGTGGTTCACTCTATGCCGGGGTTGGCTTTTTTATTCGAAGATGACCCACACCCTAACTGCCCGTTGACTGGCACTGTTGTACCCAGCGCCTCTAAACGGATCTGAACAAAGTCGTCGCTGTTTGTAAGAGCGTACCTAACTTTTTAATGTTGAGATGATGAAAAGTAGGCGTAATGGTTGTGTTTCGGAAATATGCAGTTTGCATTTCACATGCTTTGAGCTCGAGTCAGTCCCAAACACGGCCTAACATCGTCATGTTCCTCCTAATTACCCGTAGTCCTTTCAGTGATCATTTTGTACATTCACTAGTGATGAAGACTGGGTGGAGTGTGCTAGCAAATCCACAAGGAGCAGTAGCCTAACTTGGGAGATTTGGGAGTTTGGGAGTTCTGACACAAAAGCACAACCTCCTCTGAGTCGGACATCTCTCAGATGTTTGTGGAACAGAAAAGGGACCTCGCGCTGGGAGACACCGCCCAGTAATACTAGCGTCAGTGAAGAAGGCAAATGTCGACAGCATAATTGCAACGCGCTCTATTTGAAAGTCAGGAAATACAAAGTCTGCCTATCTGATCGTTCCACTTCACCTTGCGAAGAATATCGATAGAAAATTGGAGACTCTCAGGCTAGCACCTCTTCCAGTCCCACCGTTTAGCACTCGTGCCGGAGAATGATAACCTAGTCTCATATAGCGCTTTCTTCACCAAGAAATTGGACGCTGTGACATGAGCTCAAGCCCGACCTCCAGTCTTTCTCCGATCAGAGGCTCGTGGAATTCCACAGGAAAGGCAGCGACCATACTCTCATGCCCAGCCAGTATTTTGTAGTGACTTGTAGTTAAGATGAGCAAGCACTTCGGATAAAAAAGAAAAAAATCAAAATCTAAAAATACCCTCTGTCTGCACACTCTGGACCTTAGACGGTTTTCGACCACGTTTGGGGTGTCCGACTTTTATGGCGCTCTATGGGAAGTGAACTTCGGTACCATTCATTAGATCAATGACGATCCACTTTATCGGTACATCGTTCTTATTTTTCGTATCGATCGGCAACTTTTTCCGCCATGACTCCAACGCTTTTCTTCATAACTTGATGCTTCATCAAAAAGCAATACACTTTTATTTCACAAACAACAAGTAACTATAGGATAACTTCAAAGTTAAGTAGCGAACATGTCGTGATATACGTGCTGCATTCAAATGATCAAATGCGAGTTTAAAAATCAATGAAATACTACTAGTAACTAGTTCGGAGCGACTCTTATAAATCAAGCCGATCGAGCCTGATAGACATACCACATAGTCGTCTACTTGCGACTGCGAGTGACAGTGTGTGGCTTCGCATGTGCAGGAGATGGTCTCCTTAAAAATGTTTCGCTATAGAACGGAATGAGCATGAGCGCTATAAGGAGGATAGGCTGCGGCTGGGCCGGCAACTACTCACTCTTATATTACTACTTAAAAGAGGGGAATCATTTATTCTACTCGTAATCACCTTTTTTCTTACTGTCGTTGATTACTTCCTTTCATCATTTTCTTCAATTATCCTGCTTCTGTTCTTCTCGCCCGGCCTTCATCCATCTGCCCACACTATCCCTATTCCCCGACAGTTCAGAGAGACCCCCATAGATCCTCTGGTCCGGTAGACAAACCACATCGTCGTCTACCTGCGACTGCGAGTGACAGTGGATGGCTACGCATGTGCAGAAGATGGCCTCGTTAAAAATGTTTCGCTATAGGTTTCGCTATACACTGCGACGCATAATCTTAGTTCCACCTACAAATCTCCCAAAAACTAAAATTTGAAGATGTTTTTGAAAAGGGCTCTACAGATAAATTGTGACACATGCAAATGCGAATCTGGGTATTATCACGGAAATCCAGTTTGAGGAAGTAAAAAAAATTTTGTCCTCATTTTTTCGAAAATACCAGACTTGCCTATGACGCAAAATCGTTGTTTTGCGTATGCTAACGAGTCGGTCAAGGGATTCGGTAAGGTCGAGCGCCTTGAGAGGAGCGAAGACCTAGGGATAGAAAGAGGCGTGTCAGTTCACGCGTCTATGGGACGCGTGTCCTGACAGTATCCATTCCGGCTTGTTTCTGCTCAGAGAGTGGCTGCTATTTCGCAACGTCTGATATTCTCGTATTCTAGTGATGGCTGACGACGACAATGTTCCAGTCACTGACAAAGCTGTACCAGCTTCAGTTCAACCGAAGGTCTACCAATTGACCGAAGAAGCCTTGCAAAGCATTATTCATTCGCGGGACGGGCCTTCAACAGCTCCAGCTCTAAGTCACACGTTCAAGCGGACAGGTTTGGAGAGGCATCAAGTTCAATCAGGAGATTATGGACATTATTTACCCTATTGTCGATCTCGCTCTGGATGACGACATAAAACTAGTCTAGAAAAAGCGGTATCACTGTTGTCGGCTAGGAACGAACTTCTAATCGAGGCGGATGAGGATGTATCGGTGTTTGCCTTCTACGATCAGCAAAAGAAGGTACAGAAAACCAAGGATCCTATTCTGTGCAGGTGGATCAAAAAGGAATCGGAGACCAAAACGAAATCGATCGCTTGGAAGTCGAGCCGGTTCGACCCGGTTCAAAGGTCGCCAACTTCCTTTCAATTTCAGAGGGAGGCATGGGCTCGCGCTCCTCCCCAGTTCGTGCCCCAAACACGCTCCTACACCCAAATGGAAGTCCAAGGCACTTCCAATGGTTCCAGGATGGAAGTGCGTCCTTCGACCAGAGGTGCTCTGCCCAGAGATATGTGCTATGGATGTGGACGTTTCGGACATTTCGCATCGGACTGCAAGTTCAACAGGAGAAGCAAGTACTTGTGTGTTAGGTAGTATGCATTCTAAAATGAAGTTTTGGTTGTCATAATTTCCACAAAGATTTTCGTGATTATTTCGTAATATCCACGGACGCGTCAAATTCGTGGGTGGGAGCAGTTTTTCACACCTCCACAAGCTCCAATCGCATTGCTACAGCCACCTTGCCTTGTTTTTTGAGGAAGGAATCTAGCACCGCGAGAGAGCTGTACGGCATCTTACAAGCGGTCAAATCTTTCAGTCACCTTATTAGTAATGGAAAGGTCCAGATTCAAACGGATAGTCAGGCAGCGCAATCAGTGTTTTATAAGGGAAGCACAAAGAAAGTTTTACAACAGTTGGCTTCTCAAATATGGGAAATAGTTGAATAACTGAGAGTAGATATGCAAGTGTTTTGGATCCCTAGGGAGCTAAATGACGAGGCAGATGACGCTTCCAGAATCATAGACCCGAATGGATGGTCAATCCTTGACTCAGTCTTTGACAAACTTAACGAACGTTGAGGACCATTCGAAGTAGAAATGTTCGCAGATGCAAATAACAAGAAGTGTGAAACGTTTGTTTCCAGATGGTTCTGCGAGGGCTCCTCGGCCGTCGACGTCTTCAACGAGTCAGCGTCCAAATTCTGGTGTGAACATTATTGCTGGTGGGTCCCTCCTCCTCATCTAGTGGCACATACAATCGCAACAGCTAGAAGGTTTAATAGTAGGGGCGTCATAGATTCCCCTTTATGGCTATCCCACCTTTTGTTTCTTTCGCTTCGCGAAGGGTCGCGCTGGATCCCAGAAATTGTAGATACGTTCGTTGTTCCTAAAGGAAGCGCTCTAAAGAAGCTTCGCCATCTTTCACATTCTGTTCTCTATGCGTGAGCTTTGATTTCATATTCGTCAAAATTGATTTTTCCATCCACGCAACCCTGTCCTTTCCGACGAGTAGCAGAAGCAAAATGGAGTTTTTGACGGAACTCCGGAGTCAACGTCGTTGTTTTGCGTATGCTAGCGAGCCGGCCAAGGGTCGAGCGCCTTGATAGGCGCGAAGACCTAGGGATAGAAAGAGGCGTGTCAGGTCACGCGTCTATGGGAGCATGTCCTGACAGTATCCATTCCGGCTTGTTTCTGCTCAGAGAGTGCCCACCCACCTTCCCATATTTTTGACCACATTGTTACTTTTTTTAGGCCCCAGGTGGACGGCATGGTCCGAAACAATCGCAACAGCTCGCGATGAAGGATTACAAGAGTTAGCCCAAATCGTGGGCAGATCCGCCACCAACTCGCTTGCCCAGAGCACAATGTCCGCTTACTCTCCCATGAGGAGCCGCTTCGAGGCTTTCACAGCCTCTATCTCCATATCGCGATCTCACTTGGGGAAACTTAGGAACCTCTTCCTCGCCCATTTGATTCATGAAGATCAACTTAAAAGCATACCAATGGCTCTGGCATCCTTAAACTTCTTTTACGGGCGCTTGGAGGGCGGGGAAGCGGAACTTCAAAAACTTGTAAATTCCGCAAAAAGGGAAGCCCCTGCGGTATTGAACAGAAAGAAAGCTTCACAAGGTGACATAGATACCGTAGTTACTTGGGCGATTCAGAGTGAATAACAAGAACACATACGGGATGCATGCGCTATTCTTCTTTCATTTCTTTCCTTCCTGAGAATAAGCGAAGCAGTCAACGCCCAGAAGAAGCATCTTCAAGACAAAGGTGCAGGGCTTTGGTGGCTCCTGATACCCAAATCCAAGACGGACCAGTTCAAAAGAGGGGCCACAGTGCCGTTCAAAGTCTCCGGGATATACAAAACACTGTGGGACAAACTCCTCCAGCAGCTGCTGCACAAAAACGGGGACCATTTTCTTTTCGCTTCTTCCTCAGAAACCCCTCCTTCGACAGATTCTTTGACGAAACGAATGAATGAGATTCTACGTTTCGCTGGCTTACACCACAAGTGTTTGACCCCACATTCTTTACGGGGAGGCGCAGCAACTGCAGCACTTAGAAGGGGTGTCAGCCAAGACGATATCAAGCGAGTGGGGCGGTGGAAATCTACTTCATCAATGCTTCACTACATCGAGCCTACTCCGATATGAGGTCATATATCCTCAGGTTTACTGTTTATTACAGATATGGAAGTAATTATTTTTCAGAGATGGACGAGACTTCTCCAAATACAGCGCAAAGGCCCGAAAACTGTGCCAGGCAGGCTCACAGCCATCTCGACTCAACAACTTCAATACAGTCCATCGCCCAATCCGACCACTTTTCGCTCGACGCCGATCTGAGAATGGTTCACCTTTTGTTCGGTCTCATTATTACATTGCCGTTCGTCCTTCCTCTGTTTTAGGATGTTTTGATCCTCTGTGGATACTTATATTCCTTATGTAACCGCTTTTCCTCTGTTTTCAGGATGTTTCGATCCTTGTTGATGGTTATTTTCTTATATTAGGGCTGTTCACTTGTTTTAGGATGTGTCCATCCTTCGTAAATACTCATGTTCCTTATGTCACGTTCGTTTTTCCTCCCTTCCAAAATGTTGCGATCCTTCGCATATAGTTACTATCCATATATCATGATCGCAGAGACTCCTAATTTGCTACTCAGTTATCATTCATCATTTTCATGCCACTCTATACCGTTTACTGAAACATAACCTGTTTTTGATATATTGCAAGCTCATATTGACGACGCATTCGAGTTCATTGGAAAGTATCATATGAATTGTATGAAATGCGTCGAATAATGCAATCGTATTGAGCAGAAATAAAGCCTTCTTGCCAACGAGTTAGCAGAAGCAAAACGGAGTTTTTGACGGAGTTCCGGAGTCAAAATCATAGTTCCACCACATGTTTCTCTGCTGCATTACGCTTTTACCCAATCAAATTTTGAAATTATTACCCACTCGAGTCTCTTAGCTAATATCAAAGGCAAAACCGCTGTCGAACTTCCGTAAAAGGAAAACCCTAGCAAAAGAGACGCAGTAGTTGTTGAAGTGTCAGCTCACGCTAGAATTTGTCGGGGTGGCTTCATAACGAACAAGTTTCTCAAGGATGCTACAGGATATGATTCTGGGAAGAACCCTGATCACTATCCGACCGAAATAAGCGCCGTATTGTGAGAAAATAATACGACTTTATATAGGCGGTCACGGAAATCAAAACTTCTTCAGAAGTTAGTGTGTCAATGGAAGCAGTTTCACGTGTTCCGCAACACGCTCGTGACAGTCCATGTCTGGAGGACAAGAAATACGCTGTCAGTGAGAAGAAATCAGAGAGAAAATCGAGCCATTTTTTCTTGAAAGCTCAGCCAGTTCGAGTGAAGCGATGGCAATCTTTCATTTGCGACTTTTAATTCGCGTCTTTCTTTCTCTTAACGTTTTTCTTTCTTAGATCGGTTTTCTTCTTCATAGCACACATGTATGGAGAAGAAAATGATCAGGAGGATGGTCAGAGGTTCCAAAATATCACAGATAAAAAAGTGTCCTCACTTAACTCTACTTAGCAAAACTTTTTGAGAAAAACGGCTCGTTTTCTTCTATGATTTCTTTTCACTAGAAGCGTATTTTTTAATCTTCCAGCATGGACTGTCACGAGCGTGCTGTAAAACACGTGAAACAGCTTCCATTGAGACACCAACTTTTGAAGAAGTTTTGATTTCCGTGCCCGTCTGGATAAAGTCGTATTATTTTCTCACGGTACGGCGCTTATCTCGGTCGGTTAGGCTGATGTCAGAGTCCGCGATCATTTGCGCGATTTTCGCGACTTGCGCGATTTCCGCGATTTTCGCGATTTGCGCGATTTTTGCGATTTTCGCGAAACCTGCGATGGATCACAGGAGTTGGAAGTGCCCGATGAATACTGCGAGGTGTTTGACGATTCCTGAGCTTCATTGAATAAGTCTTCTGTGTAGCAGATTGAAGAGAAGCTCATTTACCATTTATTTCGACAACGTTTCGGGTTTATAAACCCTTCTTCAGGTCTCTCTAAACTATATACATTGCATTCGGCAACAGCTAATAAATGTTACACATAGAAACTCTTAGGGGAATCCTAGTCAAGGACTGACCTTGGAACGGAGGGGAGTTGGGACGATGTTCGGGTCCTGCGAGCTCATAGGATTGCTGGAAATAGACGTTGAATGGTCAGGAAAGGGAGCTGCAACAACGACTCACCTCCCTCGCTGTCCACTTCGTCAGAAATGGAGCAGTTCGGTCGGTGAAGCAGTGCTATGGAGGTGACAATAAGATACACACTACTTCTTGCCAGTTGTCACGTAGCATCATGCCATCATTCCGCAACCATCCTTTCTTATCACTATCCAAGAATGACTTCCGTTGTTCTTCTGAGCTCCTCCCTGTTGTTGATGGATGGATTCCTCCTCCGAATCTCTAGTGCTTCCTTGATTTTCCTCTCCACCGGGTCACTTATATTCCTGTGGATCACGCGCACCTTGATTTCAGGAGCGCGTTCATTGGTATGACGCAAGGAACGGTGCTTCGAGAAGGGATTCTCCGGATAACTGGAAGGGTTCCGGAGAGCCCTTAGGTGTTCGTCTAGCATTTTGTAGAGTGGTCGTCCGCTTTCTCCAATGTAGAATTCCGAGCAGGACGCGCACTCTACTTCGTAAACAGTGTTCTTCAACAGGCGAATTTTTCGTTCCTCCTGGCAATATGCACAGTTATCGCGTCTGCATCGATCCTCGTACAATCGCGACGATGTAAGAAGGCGGCGCAGTGTACCAGTTGCCAAGTCCAGAACAGCATACGTCGAACCTTCACGAGGCTGAATTCAGCGCATCCGAATATAACACTGACTACTGAGGATCTTGAACAGGATGGTTTCCTTCTCTTGAACACAAAAGTGAAACTATCCGGAGGTCATATGCTCTCCATGTGGCATAAAAAATCTGCTTCGAAGAACATACTTATTCATGCGAGAAGCTGCCACCCTCTTTTTATGAAGAGGAATGTTGTTCAGAATGCCTTGGGAACAGCTCGAAGGTTGACGTCCACTAATATTCCTGAAGTGATGGAGAAGATGGCGAGCATACTCCTCGACAATGGCTACGGAAACGGACAAGCGCATTGTTGGCGTCCATACCACGCTCCAGGAGGCATCCCACTGATAGTTCCTTACATGTCCGACTCCTTTGCGAGAGATGTAAACCGCGTGG